GAGAAAGTATTATCAAGCCGTTTAGTTTATTACAAGAGTAGATGAGCTAAGAGACTTCTAGACCAGGAAGTGACGTCACACCAATGAGAATCAAGTATTTCGGTCACGTGGTGAGGTGTGAGCCAATGGGAGCGCGTGAGTCGGCCATTTTATGACGTCACATTTTGTGTGTTTTGCTTCCGGTGTTTCTGGACCAGGAAACGCGTCATAGCTTGTGAAATATTTGTCTGAAAAGAGGCTGCGTCGAGGATTTGAACCGTCGATACGCAAATTACGAATCTGCCGCTTTACCCATCTGAGCTAGGCGAGGCTTTGAGATATGAACGTTTAGCAGTTAAAGTATTGTTAGAATGGGGGCGCGATTGCAGAGGCGTAGAGGGTAAATCGTATGGGGTAGCAGTAGGAGCGGTAGATACCCCTAGGCCGTATAAGCTATTTCGTAGGAGCGGGAGCTACCCCTATTATGTTTTTATAAAAGAGAAACCGCGCGTAAGTGAAAGAGGAAACTGCAATGTCGCTAGCAGTGATAACATTTATAAATAGGTATACATGCGCGCTTTACATTTCTATATTGAGAAAGCGCGCAAGATTATTATAAATGGGAGACGTATTAACCTATAACGAGGTGATAGTGGATCGCTGTAGAGGTGCAGGGTAGTAAAAGAAATATTTCAAAGGATCATCAATAATTGTTGGCAACTAACCCTACCTGCGACGTAGGTTTTATAGGAATAGAGTAACCGTGCGCGTTGTTGACGACGATGTTCGTTGCTGCTTTGTCGTCATCATCATCATGGACGACAACGACGATTGAGATAACGGTAATTTTATTTCGTCGATATATTTTGCATTAGATTGTAACTCTTATCAATTCATCTTCTATTTCGTCTTCGTATTCTTCGGCGTTTTCTTCGTCATCGTCGACGCCATCATCATCATCATCATTGTCCCACTTCGATGGAATAAATCGGATCGTTTTGATAAGAGTCCTCAAACGATTTGATCATCACACCATTGTCGTCATCGTCGGTTTTTGTCCACGAGTCAATGTGGCTAATGGAAGTAAAGTCGTTGGTTGTAAATAATTCGGCAAGAGCGGCGGTCGTTAATTCCGCCAGATCTAGATCTTATTCTCTAAGACGATCCAATGAGAAACACAAAAGCGGTTCTACGCATTTTAAAGCGATCTTATTAATAATTTCAATTAAAGTTGTTATAGGGTAAACCAGGGTGAGATGGTGAACCGGGTGAGATGGTGAACAGGGATATTTTCGTAAATACTACCTAGATGGCGGAGACTGTATTAACACTGTCTTTCCGAAGGTTAATTGTGTACTCGGCACGTGTGATATCGGTGTACTGTGCAATAACCGGTAAGTAAATCACAAAATATCGTTTTCATACCTCTAAAATATTTTCATGCATGTGGAATTGCGTGCCGTAAAAACTTCAGTTTTAATTTGTGGCACATTATATTGCAATTTACGTTGGTTTTAAAGTGTAAAGACGTTACCTAACCTAAAATATGCGCGGGATTTTGATCTTACCAACCGCAGCAGTGTTCACCATCTTACCCATGCAAAAAGGGAGAGATGGTGAATATGCTTGCGGGAGAGATGGTGAAAACTAAAACTTAAGGATTTGATTGAAACACTTTTTAATACTTACTGATCATATTTCAGTCAATATGCCAACATTTTACAAACGTAAGAGAACATCTTCTAGAGGTTCGTGGTCAGTGGAACAGCTGCAAAATGCAGTCAACGCTGTTCATAATGGACAAACTTTGAATCAAGCTGCTCGAACATTTGGCGTTCCATGGTCCACATTGAAGCGAAGGATTCAAAAGGGCGATATGACAAAAAAACCTATGGGACCAATGTCTGTGTTAGGCAAGACGAATGAAAAGAAAATTGTTAGGCACATAATGAAGATGCAAAAATTTGGATTCTCACCAACAAGAAATGAAGTTCGTTCCATAGCATTCAAACTGGCAGAGCAGTTGAAATTACGGCATACTTTCAACAAAGAAAATGAAATGGCTGGTCTTGATTGGCTTCATTTGTTTATGAGCCGGAACCCGGAACTTAGCATTCGAAAATCAGAAGGCATCTCTTTAGCACGTTCTCGGAACATGAACAAGACAAATGTGTTGAAATATTTTGATTTGTTGCAAGACATTCTGGTAGATAACGGTTTAGTAAATAAGCCCAGTAATATTTACAACATGGATGAATCTGGGCTGCAATTAAATAACAAGCCAGGATATGTCGTAGCAGCAAAAGGCTCAAAGAGTGTTACAAACGTAACATCTGGTGAAAAAGGCGAAACAATATCCGTTATCGCCTGTTGCAATGGTGAAGGCACATTTCTTCCTCCCGCATGTGTCTTTAAAGGCAAAAATGAAAAACCAGAATATAGGGATAACATGCCACCCGGTTCAACTATCTACATGTCAGTCAAATCTGCATATGTTACAACGGATATTTTCTTTTTGTGGCTCAAGGATCATTTTTTGCCCAGAAAACCAGATGGACCTGTCCTATTAATACTTGATGGGCATAGCTCACATTGCTCATCAGTAGAAACACTGGAATTTGCTGAAACGCATGGCATAATACTTTTATGCTTGCCGAGTCACACCACACATTACCTGCAACCCCTCGACAGGGCATTTTTCAAGGCGTTGAAAACGTATTATAGCAATGCTTGCAACTCTTACATGAAGATGAACCCTGGTAGAAAAATATCACGACTTATTTTCGGGAAATTATTGTCTGATGCCTGGGTTTTGGCTGCCACAGCAAATAACGCTATCTCTGGATTTAGAGCAACAGGGATTGTTCCCTTCAATCCACATGCCATTCCGGATTATGCTTACTTAACAACAAGCGAGCCCGGAGAAGCAGGTTTGTTGCAGACATCACCAGAAAGAGATGATATTCCGCTACCAGGCACTTCCAATTCAACGAACGATGCCAGAAACTTTTCAGAATCCCAAAGCTCTTCCAGCATTGTATTGGAAACTGAACCTTTCGCGAATGAAAATGTGACCCCAGGAAAACTTTTGGACGCAATTTCGCCTGTGCCTGTCATCGCTCAAGTTGAAAAAGTGAGGAAGAACTCTAGAAATTTAGCAGAAATTCTCAATTCAGGCAGCAACATTCAGACACTTAAAGACAAAATGCAAAAAAAGAAGGAGAAAGAAGCAAAAAGCTCAATGAAGATACAAAAAGAAAACAAAGACCCTAAAATCACAGGAAAGAAAACGAAAGGCTTGGCAATCAAAGGGAAATCGAAATTACGATCGACTGTTTCATCGAGTGATACGGAATCTGAGTCATCTGTAGAACTACAGCATCTGTAGAACTACAGCTCAATGATTCTGATGATGATCATAATGAAGACGAAACTTGTTGCGTTGGTTGCGACGAGGAATACAGTAAAACGAAAAAACCCGTTGACTGGATACAGTGTCTCAAATGTGAACGATGGTTTCATGAAGATTGTACTAAATACGGTGACCTGTGTGATACATGCGGAAAGGTTAAGTTGAGAAAGGTTTAAGTCAATTTCTTCGTTCACCATCTCACCCACTCTGAATTCGCCATCTAACCCACCATGTATGGGTGAGATGGTGAAAGGGTAAGAAAAATAAAATATTTTTTTACGTCGTTAAATGTCGCTTTGTTGTTCAATTAGAGTTATATTTTTATTTATATGTCTTTTGTGAATAGTATGTTATTTTAGTTGCACTAAATAAACTATAGTTTGAAAGCTGTCGTCGTTTAAAGTTTTGTTCACCGTCTCACCCTGGGTTACCCTACACGATTCGGCATTTAGTGGAATTTAAGAGAACGGGAGAGTATTTGTGAATTTCTTTTACAATAGTTTTAGCAATAGAATCGTGCTTCTTTTTGAAATTGTCTAAACTAACATTAAATGTATTCAAACCTTGCAAGCGATGATGATTCATGCCGAAACCCGCAACATGTTGAGCGTTAATGTTGGTAGATTCCGTGCATATTGCGTCTTTAACGATATGCAAGGCGAATAATTTAGCAAAATGAGAGAAAAAATTAGAAACCGTTAAACGTAAATTAATCAACGATTTTTTGCTAGAAGTTTGTAAATGAGGTATATAATAAAACATTCGCCTTACCTCGTTAGATGTTATTTTGACGCTTAGATCGTAATTAGATTGTTGCAATTGCCTATCTGCAAAACGGGATAGCAGATCTTCCAACGCTCGCAAAGTATGATAACACATATAATGATGTACCCCCGCACCATAAAGTATCGCCACACGTTTCGTGCATCATCTTGATATCTTAGAGAGAACATGATCTCATTAAAGTACATTTTAATACGTAACATGGAATGTGCCGAAATGTATCGTTTGTTTTTAAATTCGCAAAAAGCGTCTTCTATAACGCTCATCGAATTCACCACCATGTAAAGGTAAAAAATAAAATTATAATACGTACTTGAGGATGCAATATTCAAATACTAACCTTAGGTTGTTTTTAATATACCGACGATGTCTTCGTAATTAGCAACATTCATTTGATTTATTAATCTAAAGACGAAGAGTTACGTTCAAAATAACAAAAAAAAACACACACACCCACACACAAACCTCTTGTAAGTTATTAATCGCACTCTCTTGTTCCAAAAAATAATCGGGATCCTTTTCAATTACCACGTTCTCAACGGCAGTATAAAGTTCCTCGACTATTTCTTTATAATTGGGTTGAGCCTCGTCAAATTCTAAATCCATACTTTCAACCATTATGAAGACAATGCACTAAATTGTAAAAACGCAACAGGCGAATATATCCATGCCAATAAGATTGGAGCAAATATAGCGCCTCTCATATGAAAGCACTTTGATTAGCCGACCGATATAACAAAATACTTAACTGCAGAATAAACACTTAGGTAAAAATAAGTTACAATTAAGATAAACATTGGGTGTCAATTAGGTAAAACTTATCAATATGCCGAGAGGAGAAACCATTTGGTAAACTACTTAGAGCCGTTTCACATGCGACTGATAAAGTCCTGACGGTCAGTCCTGATGGTCATGGTCAGTCCTGATGACTAGGGGCCATTGTTTAAATGAACTTTTTCACATGCACTGCGTATCATCGGTTGACTGATTCGTCGGCACGGGCATCGGGACAGCCCGTGCGCACTGCGTATCGTCAGGACTATTAAGGACTGTTAGTTATATGGAGTATTTCATATGGTACGTACGGTCAGCAGAAACAGTGTTGCACAATGAGTAGTTTACGCATTGATACTGAAATTTTAATAAGTAGCATCGAACAGCGAAGATGCAGGGGAAGAGAACTACAAAAATAGGGATGCGAAGAACAAAGCATTTGAAGAAGTAGCGGAAATAGTAGTTCCGGATTTTGAAAATTTTGCGGAAGCAAAAAAGAATGAAGCTTGTAAGTAAAAAAAATACTTTTTGGTAGCATACATATATTTGTGGTTATATTTTTCATTACTGACATATTAAAATCAGTACAACTAATATATTTTGGAGTCTTGCCAAGGTACCGCCCCCTCTGTACTAGTAAAATACTTTGCAAAACCATCTCTTACAGAAAATCCTGACCTATTAGTTTCTACTATAGCATGTTCAACGTCTGCAAAACCTTTCACAGTAAGAGTATGATGAAATGCATAGCCGTCTCTAATGCATACATAATTGTGTAAAGCAGAGCAGGATTGGATAATTTTCTTGGACAAGCGAAGCGATACATTGAGAGGTCTGTGAAAAATTCGCCATTTATTGGAGAGAATTCCAAAAGAACACTCAATGTAACGCCTAGCTCGAGTTAGTCGATAATTAAATATTTTTTTCTTATGCGTTAAATTCTTCCTGGCATAGGCACGCAATAAATGTGGACCTAGACTAAACGCATCATCGCCAACAATAACAAAAGGCATTGGCTTCTCTGTTCCTGGCAGATATCTATCTTCAGGAAGATTTAACAATTTTTTCTGGTATCTCTTCCAAAATTGACTGTTAACAAACACATTGGAGTCCGCAAATTTCCCGAAAGCTCCGACGTCCACATATGTAAAACAGTAATTCACGTCGCAAATTGCCAAGAGAACTACCGAATAAAATTTTTTGTAATTAAAAAAAGTAGAACCACTGTTTATGGGTTTGATTATTCTGATGTGTTTCCCATTAACGGCCCCAATACAGTTAGGGAAGTTAGCATAACGGGCAAAATGCGATGCAATTTCCAGCCACTTTTCTCTTGTAGGTTCAGGGAAAACTTCCGGTCTCAGTATGTCCCATATGGCGTCACATACAAGTTCCACTATTGCACTTATGGTTGATATCCCTAATCTGTATGAATAGTGCAGGTCTGTAAATGTGTTGCCACTTGCCAGATATCTGAAACAATAGCCCAATTACCTCTTTACGTGGACAGTACCTCAAAAGAATCAAGCTGCAGGGTGTAAATGATTATTAGTAATACAGGTTGTTTTTTTATTTTCAGTGAAAATTGTTGTACAGAGGTGGAGAACAGCTCGTGATGCATACCGAAGAGATCGTAATAAAGTATATAAAACCAAATCTGGACAAGCTGCAAAAGGCATAAAGAAATATGTATATTTCGAAAATTTAAGGTTTCTCGATAGCGTTTTAGATATAAATAATACAGAAACAAGCCTTCACAATAGCATTGAGGACGATGAAATTAGAACTACACATGATAATAGTGACTTATCAGAAGACGAACCACATACTCAAGAAAATATTGTAGAAGAACCTGATGCTAATGCACCTGAAACACGAAAAAGGTTTGAAAGAAAGAAGCGGCGACAGGACGACATATTGGGTGAAAAAATGATTTCATTGCTAGAGAAAAGTAATGAGAAAGCAACGGAAGAAGAAGATGCTGACAGATCATTTTTAATTTCACTATTGCCAACTTTAAAAGGTTTTGATGAGGATAAGAAGCTGCAGTTTCATTTGGTAACTCCGTAAAAAAACGTGCGCGATTTTTTTAAATATTTTTTTAAGAGCTATTATCAACGTTTTCATTTGGTGTATAACTTATTTTCTCGAAAAACAACCTTTCAGAATTGGTACCGCAAGAAGTACCCGCAGCGCCTTAAGTCATATGACCTGAGGCGGCAGACGATCGATTTTAGCATACTCTGATAGGGCAAAATGGAACTCCATCGGTTAAAATTTTGATCATTCTCGTTCAGTGGATTTCGTGCTAGCTCCCCTACTATAAATGGTAATAAATGAATATGATCTTATTTATCCATTATTAGATAAATCTGGATAAAGATGGTGACATTGTTGATGTACCTTGCGATTGTCCAAGAGGACAATACCTATGTCACACCATATGGCAGCGGTTTGTATTTATGGGCATCATAACATCTCCATAACTGATTTGGGGTGTTCGTGGAGTGCAAAAAAGAAACCCGAAAAAGCACAAATCAAAACAATAGAAAATTTCTATAAGGAAGGTAATCATCATTCTACAACCAGAGAACTGACAGATGACGAAATAGCCATGTTTCGTGCACAGCTACAAAAAACAGGGACTGCTGTAGGATTTTCGCGGCTATTAAGTCCTAAACCAGTGTCAGAGGGAAGTTTACTTGTAAATATAGAGGATTTCTTATTCTCTGCGGAATACTTGTCTGCAACAAATAAAGCAGAGTTTTTTGCTAGGGGAAATACAATTGGCCAGTCAGAATGAAAACTGGCTAACCTATAGAACAAACCGTCTGACAGCAAGTAATTTTGGAGCTGTTTTGGCTGCTGTTCGTAGGCAAAGTTGTCCTCCACCATTGTTCAAACGCTTAACAGGTACTATGTTATTTGCACTAGTATGCATATATATAACTCATTTATTGTAGGATTTTATAATATAGGAGGCGTAACAGCTGTACAGTGGGGCATAGCTCATGAATCGGAAGCACTTCGTCGCCCTAATACGAAAACCACGTAACTCCACATTTTACCCAAACTTGGTTTTTCACGCCATCTTGTAGAAGATATCGATTTACATGTCTCTGAAGAACCTGTAACTCCTAGAATATTTCATTACCTTTATATTGGAAAAATAGAAAACTATGTAACTCCATAGCGTATACAATTAATAGGAAAAACGCGCATGTCCAGTGCTACATGGACAGTTGAGTTTAACGGTTACTTAGTACCTACGTGATTGTGACATTGTTTAAACTACTTGTAATTCAAAGTGAAAGAAGTACGCTGGGGTGAGTAATTGAGCAGTACTATTTAATTTTGAAACGGAAGACTTTGTATCAGACTGTTAAACTTTCAAATTTAGCTGGAGATACGTGTTTTTCCAATTTGAATATGAATTAGAAAAACACGTATCTCCAGATAAATTTGAAAGTTTAACTGCTGAAAAAATAATAAACTCGGGAAAGTATAGTCTTTTCAAACAGTAAGATTTAAACTTTAAGCTAAAAAGCGATGTTAAACCCTTATAAATTATTTATGTGCCCAGAAAAAATCAATACTCTCCCTAAAAATATGTTTCTCCGTACTTTGGCAATTAAAGAGTGGATCGTCAGGAGATGTCTCAATATTACTGACAAAGCTGATGAGAAATCGCGAAATGGACGGCAGAAAAACATAAAAAAGGTTCACGAAGGAAAAGCAAAAGTTGAGGAATTCTTAGACAGGCTACCAAAATTAGAATCGCATTATTGCCGGTCGTCCTCTTCCAAACTATACCTAGAACCTCTTTGGCAATCAAAAGCAGAACTCTACCGGCTATATAAAGATGAATTTTGTAAGGAACAAAATGTGACATCGTGCTCTTCTGCTACATTCGATAACGTATTTGACAAAAAGAATCTGTCGCTGTTTCGTCCAAAGAAAGATGCATGCGATGTGTGTGTAGGATACGAAACAAAAAATGTGTCTGAGCAAGATTACTTGTATCACATTGAGTTGAAGAATGAAGCAAGAAATGAGAAAGAAGTGGACAAAGAGTCCCAAAATGAGGTTTTTACTATGGACCTCCAATCCGTCCTTCTTTGTCCTCGTTTCAACGTTTCTGCGCTGTACTATAAAACTAAGCTTATCGTCCACAATTTTACATTGTATGACCTGAAAAGAAAGCAAGGGTTTTGTTTTTTATGGAATGAGGCTGAAGGCGGTTTAACGGCGAACGAATTTTCGTCCATAATCTTTCACTTCTTAGAAACCCACGTAATCCCCAGAGCTTCAACCAATAATGTCGATACTATCTTATTTAGTGACGGTTGCACCTATCAAAACCGCAACGCAACATTATCGAACGCTCTCTTAAACCTTGCAGTGAAATACAACGTAAACATTATTCAGAAGTTTTTACAGAAAGGCCATACGCAGATGGAGGTCGACAGTATGCATTCAGCAATTGAAAAGCGACTAAGGCACACTAAGATCAACGTGCCAGCCGATTATATTTCCATCTGTAAAAAAGCTTGTGTTAAATCGCCGTATGTTGTAAAATATTTAACTTATGAATTTTTCAAAAATTTTACTGAAATATCGTTCATAAAGTCAATACGACCTGGTAGACGTGTTGGAGATCCTGTGGTCACTGATATTAAAGCTATGAAATACACTCCGCAAAACGCACTTATGTATAAATTACGCCACACTACAGATTGGGAGCAACTACCTCTATGTAGACAGCATAAAAACATCGACAACCCCGTTGGATTTTCCGAATTGCCGCAGTTATACCTTGAAAGACTAAAAATTAAGGAAGAGAAGTTTCAACATCTACAACTACTTAAAGGTTCAATTGAATCTGATTACCACTCTTTTTTTGATAACTTGCCTTATCGTTAATAATAACCTATAGATTAGTAATAACTTTTCTTTTGCAATTGTAAAGTTTCTTAATAAATTACGAATTTATATAAATAATTACTTTTATTTTCATCAAAACCTTAGGGGGTTGCAATATACGTAAGTCCCGATTTTTAGGAGCATTTTTATAAGAAAAACACGTAACTCCTCTTATTACTTAAATTAATATGAAAATCATTATATTTCTTACATGATTTCAACCCTTGTTAATTTTAGATTTTTTTTGTATCATTTGTTTTGTTTATGAAGTCGTAAATAGTTTTTCACGCCTCCTGTAAAATTTACCAAAATGGAGTTACATGGTTTTCGTATTAGGGCGACGACTTGCAACATTTAGCAATATTACAAAATAATCTGTCACTCCAACAGGATTATGGTTGCATAGCTGTGGATTTCTCGGTGCCAGTCCAGATGGTCTTGTGGATGACAATGCAATTGTAGAAGTGAAGTGCCCCTATAAATTTCGTGAGAAAGATATACGGAAAGAACTTGAAGGTGATAAATCGTATATCATTACTCTAAATGAAAGTGACATTTTTGTAAATAGTGATCATGAATATTATGACCAAATACAAGGTACATTAGAGTTAACTGGTCGAAGTGTTTGTTTCTTGGTGGTTTGGACTCCAAAAGACACCATCATTGTTCAAATAAACAAGGACCTTAACTGGTCAAAAAATGTAGACCTTTTGAAACAATTTTATATGGACCATTATATCCCACAAATATTAGAAAGTATTTTTGTAGAATAACTTGATTTTTATCTAATAGAATAGCTTTAAGTTTAAGTAAATTTATTTGTAAATTATTTACATTATATTATAACAACTTAGATTTTAAGGCAGTCCAAATCAGATTATAAATAATTATATATAAGTAAAGATTTAATCGTATAATGATTCAACTTCCTTGATCAGGGGAAATTGTAAATTTGTTAGTGCCGCACATGTTTGAAATACTACAGACGCATGTGGTATTAAGGTGGATGGTATCATTCGTAATATTAAATATTGTTTTATTCTATTAATTGCTTTCTCAACATGAATACGAGCTTTAGCTATAGTTTTTGTTCTTATTACTTGCTCACTTGAAAATTGGGGTGTGTTTAAAAATGGAGGAACATTTAAAGAAACACCTTGAGGTAGTAAATCTGAAATTAAAAAACCTTTATCGGCAAGAATCAAATCGCCGGGGACCAGTCTTTGTAATACATCGCAGTGTTCAGTAATATTTTTATCTGAAAGAGATCCAGGATAAAGTTTACTGGCAAAAACCACAACACCATTGGGTGCAACTCCAATTAAACCCTTTAGTGTGTTCCGATGTTTCTGGAGCTGTATGTTATTCTTTGCTTTTCCATATTTTTTGATTGAATGGTGCATACCTCTGTACAATCTATTATCATTCTACAGTTGGTAAATGAACTAAAAGAATCTGGCATGCACCATTTATTTTTAAAACGTGGGACTATTTTTCATTAATTGCACAAATAATATCTCATGAAGAGCAAACAACCACGTTTTAAATATATTTGCCACAGTTTCTCGACTAATATTAAACCTTAAAGCTAAATCGTCATTAAGTAAATTTAATTTTAATTTCATTAACGTCAATAACAGTTGATCGATTTTCGGTACTGACACAACTTGCCACCCCATGAAATAGTTTAATTTCATGTTTTCAAATAATGAAAACAATGTCAGAAAAATGTCTTTTGTGGGTAAACCAGTGTACACAGTCACTAAATGAGAATTCCCTTCAATTTTTTTAAATGAAAAGCTCTGTTTTAAATGTAGCAATTCAGTTTTTAGACTGTCCACTTCATTTTTTAGAAAATAATTGTCTGCATCAACCATGGCACCAAACGGATAACTAGTTCCAGCTGATGAACATGCCATTACAGTTGTCGATGTCGATGGAGTACTTTCAGACACTTGCATACCAACTTCTTCAGCACAGGTGGTTGCTTCGAATTGATCATCTAATCCGGACGATCCAGGTATTGGCTGGTTAATGTCAACATTGGCAAGGAAGTGTTTGCTAAAATTTCTGATAAATGATTGACCACATTAGATTTTAACCTTACTGTGACTTTTATGGCAAAGCTTCTCCCTTAAACCGTTTAGTTATGTTGTAGTCAAAAATGGCCGGTCTGTTTTTCTTATCGCCGTCCACAAAATGACAACTACAAATCCTGGAGTGCTTTCCAGGGTCTCTATCTTCTCGCCTGCATTCAAACAATTGAAACTATACATATAATACAGAAAAATAACTAATCACCTTATTAATTTCAGCCACTTTCGCAGTTCGAGAGGATCCCGTGGGAATGCAAACCATTTGCAACCGTCTCTTTCACTATAATGTTTACAGGCTTTAGCTATACCGCTAGCTCCACCGGCCATTGCGCCCGCAGCCGAAAGACCGGCAAAGAGCGGTCCTAGGAACGGAAGAAAACCTCCGACTTTAGGTATTGGTATCACTCGCGGCACTCTCACTCTTTGCTTACCGCCTGCAACTTTAACCGATTTCTTGGCGGCCAACAAACTTATTTTGATAAGTTTATTCAAGTTTGCCGATGATGATGATAGGCCTTTTATTGAATTTCGAATTGGCGTTAAAACTCCGCCTCTAAACGAACAAGTCTTCTTCTTTTTCCCGCGCTTTGCGATACGCCGTGTTGCTCCCATGACAAGCTTCCTTTTGGCCTTCATTGCTCCAGCTACGGCTAATGCTGCAGATTTCTCTCCAAAACTAGCGTCCTTTGCCTTTACACGATCCCAAGCTCGAATTTGAAGTTCTTTATCGGCCCGATGACGATTCTCAACGTCTTTGAATTGATTGTATGCGATGTCGTGTTGCTTGCATGCAGCATCCAACTGATCGATCTACTAGATCGATTAGCAACTTATCGCAGCTACATGATGATCAGCAATTTTTAGACCAGTATTATCATTTACCTCGCCATTATATCAACCGGATGATTAAGGATGCGACGGGAGAGGTCGATCACGTTCACGGACTGCGATACGATTCCGAATTCAAAGAGTGGGCTATAGGAGATTTTATAGTGCAGTTTGAAGGGCCCGATATAAACATAAAAATACACTTTATACCGGTACTCCTGGGCTATATGAATTGCTCGTGCTCAAAAAGCCGCATAATTACTCCTTCAAGGATAGTCAATCGTATAAAGATATTTTATTAGCTACTAACGCATACAAAAGGAACTACGATCCTAGACAACAAATCATGGGTACTAAGTCGCATAAATACGTTAAGATCGTGAAGCCGCTACTATCGGAACATTTTGGAGCAGGTGTGAAGGAGGTTAATAATAAACAGAAGGAGTACGTGTATTGGAATACTCCCCACGAACTAGTCGAGCGTCTCTAGACTGCTACACGCATCGCAAGCAGCCGGTCATACCGGACACAACAACGAGGTTTTAAGCATTGAAGAGGAGCTCCGAGAAGAAGGTATAATCGCTTAGTCCGAAAATGAGCGTTGACAAATTCGGGAGACATTCGTTCTCAAGATTATATAACGAACAGAATACCTTGCAATTTACCGCCGCTAATGATTATGATATGCAAAACAAGAGAATATGTAATGTTGCCGATCCTGCTAAGGGTAGCGATGTCGCTACAAAACAATATGTGGATAATAGTACTCGGAACGCCGCAACCCAACAATATATGCGTGGTAATCGGCTAACCCCCTATCCTCCAAATTCTTCGACGACAATTCTTCGAAAGAAAATTATTCGAAAACAGTTCTTCGAATGAAACTCTTCGAAAAGGAAAGTTCTTCGAAAATAAAATTCTTCGAAACAAATGCATCGAAAATAAAATTCTTCGAAACAAATTCATCGAAAATATAATTCTTCGAAACAAATTTTTCGAAAATATAATTCTTCGAAACACATTCATGGAAAAGAAAATTAATGGAGGGCGATTGGAAAGTGTTATTCCTAATTAAATAATGACAGTTAAGAGGCATGGGTCATTTAGGGCAATTAGCCTAAAGAATTACATTTAAAAGGTAATTACATACCTTTCAAATTACGCTTATATTTAACATTAACGGCATGTTTCTCCTTCTAAATTTAACCTTCCAGTACTCGCGCCAAGTCTCCCAGACCCGACGCGTGTTTGAGTGTAAATTTTAAAGTGCGCAGATCATGCTGAGCGTTGCGGCTCTGACTAGCTTTATGTATTCGCATTTAGTATACGATTGTCAAGTGTTTGAAGAACTTGAAGAATAGGTAAGTAATTGTTCAAAGTTGAATATTTGAATTGGTAACCGACGTAGTTCAAGGCATTGCAATTGCGAAAAAGATAATGGGGGATTATGAAAAAGAACAGGCGCGCCTGCTACGCCTGTTTGAAGAAGTAGAACCCGATGAAGACCCGATCGATGAGGAATCTGAAAATGAGGAAGATGGAATTGAAGCTCAGTTAGAGAATAGTGACACAGAGCAAGACGCGGATTCATCTGACAGCGAGGGAAATGAGGAAGGTTCTTCAAAAACGACCAGAGTGCCTTCATTTACCGGAAAGGACGGACAAACAGTCTGGAAAAAATCTGTTCCTAACAGAAAAGTTCGAACCCGACGTCACAACATTGTGATTCATCTGCCTGGTGTAAGACCGCATGGTAAGCATGCAACGACTGCTATGGAATGTTGGGGTCTCTTTTTTTCGAGGGAAATATTAGAATTACTGGTCGAAAATACAAACAAAATGATCAACAGAGTTGCTGATCATTTTTCCAGATCTAGAGACGCAAAACCTACGGATTTGGTTGAAATAAAAGCTCTATTAGGCCTCTTATACTTGGCGGGATGCCTCAAAAGTAGTCGCCTTAGTGTTGAGGAATTGTGGACCACAGACGGGACAGGTGTTGAAAGATTTTGGTTAACAATGTCCAAGGAGAGGTTTCTGTTTTTACTAAGATACTTGCGTTTTGACGACAAAGAGACAAGAGAACAGCGTAGAGCAATCGATAAATTAGCTCCAATTAGGAATCTATTTGACATTTTTGTGGAAAATTGCAAAAAATATTATACAGTGAGTGAGTACACTACGATTGACGAAAAACTTGAGGCTTTTCGGGGACGTTGTGGTTTTAAACAATATATACCCAACAAGCCTAGTAAATATGGAGTAAAGATTTTTGCGTTGGTGGATGCTAAAACAATGTACACACAACATTTGGAGGTGTATGTTGGAAAACAACCAGATGGCCCTTATTGTTTCCCAAATGATGCTAAGAGCATTGTTGAAAGAATTGTTGCTCCCATATCAGGAACTGGGCGAAACGTAACTTGTGATAATTGGTTCACCTCATTCCCTCTTATTTTAAAACTTAAAACAGATCACAAATTAACGCTAGTGGGAACAGTGAGGAAGAATAAAAAAGAACTGCCAGCTGAATTCGTGAATACCAAAGCTCGCCCTCTTCAATCAACAATGTTTGGTTTTCAAGAAGAGACAACCATACTCTCCTATGTGCCAAAAAAGGGAAAGAACGTTATCCTTGCTTCGAGCATGCACCACGATGATAAAATCGACATGTCCACGGGGGAAAAATTCAAGCCCGAAATAATAACCTTTTACAACTGCACAAAAGGCGGAGTCGACACAGTCGATAAACTATGTGCTACTTACAATGTCGCACGGAATACACGACGTTGGCCGATGGTCATCTTCTTTTCACTTATGAACCTAGCTGGAATTAATTCCCAGATTATTGCTAAAGCAAATGGCAGCAGCAACGTAAGTGTTAGAAGACTATATTTAAAAAATTTGGCTTTGGCGTTAACCGAAGATCATCTGAGACGCCGTGCTCAGGTTACAAATATCCCACGAAGAGTGCGTGAGAGAAGACAGGAAGTAGCAGGTATAAGTTCTTCCACGGTTGTAGCTCCCTCACCACCTGGGACAAGAAAAAGGTGTCATTTTTGCTCTAAAGACAGTAAAACAAAATATACCTGTAAGAAGTGCAACAAATTTCTGTGTTTAAGCCACGCTGAAATGTTGTGTCCGCAATGTGTACGTATTCATGAAGAAGAGTTTTAGATCTTAATTTTTGTAAAAGCAGCTTGTATGTTTTTAAGCCTTATAGCAATATCCATATCTTAGTTGTATTTTATAATATTTTTAAGTTGATTTTTGTTAAAAAGTATAAATAACTACATTTTCTTTATTGGATTGTATTTCTTGGAAAATCAAGCAATTATAATACTTTAAATTGTTTATTCTATCTTAATCTAGCCATGCCTCATAAGAGTACCATTAATAACCATAGAACTGGCATATATATATATAATAATTATTTTAAATCAGTATGGGTCTTCTAGACCCGGCGCGCGAGTAGTGGAGTTCTAAAATTAGGCGCGAGTGCTGAAAGGTTAATGATCCTTAATTAAATCATTCTGTATAAATTCTCAAACGATAGATAATAGGGTTCTAGTTTAATTGAAAACTTCGATTCGTTAAGATGGCTTTACAGTTCATTGAAAGTGAAAAGCGAAAACCAAAATTGTGTGTAAACAATCATATTTATTATAAAGACAAGGTGGTGGATGAAACAACATATTGGAAATGTGAAAAATTCCAAATTACAAAGTGCAAAGCTCGAATGAGCACGCAAGGCGAAAGAATTGTGTCCCATGGGAAGAAAGAACACAATCATGTCGCTGATGTTGCGAAAGTGGAGTGTGACAAGATACTAAATAACATAAAAGACACTGCAAGAAATACTCGAGACTCTCCCCATGTGATTGTGTCAGATGCTTCAGTAGGAGTGAGTTTGGCTATCGCAGGAAGGCTACCATCAGTTGACTGCATGAAGAAAACCATTAGAAACGTAAGAGCAAAGGAAAATCTAGGTCCTGTGCTTCCTTTACATCGAAGGGATATTGTTTTTCCTGAATTGTACACTCTGACAGAAAACCAAGAAATATTTTTAATGTTCGATTCCGGTCCTCAGGACGATCGAATTTTGATTTTTTCTACCAGACGAAACTTACAGCTATTGGCACGTTCTAGTCACTGGTATGCTGACGGCACATTTAAGGTATCTCCACCGCTTTTCGCGCAACTATATACCATACATGGACTTAGACACAGCAACAGCATACCTTTAGTATACGCTCTCTTGCCTGATAAAACTCACAATACCTATGTGCGACTTCTTGGACAAATTAAGCAGCTCGAGGCAACTGTTAACCCAGAAACGATATTAATAGACTACGAAAGTGCAATAATCGGTGCCATTGAAAGCGAATTTCCTGGAGTTGTTGTGCGTGGATGCTTTTTTCACTTTTGCCAGTGTATTTTTCGTTCTATCCAGTCAAATGGGTTACAGCAACGATACGAAACTGATGCTGATTTTGCACTCACTATGCGCTACCTGTCAGCACTAGCATTTGTTCCTCTTAACGAGTTAGTGCAATCCTTTGATCTGTTATTGGATAACAACGTCTTTCCACCAGAAGCCCAGCCAGTAATTGATTATTTCGAAGACACCTGGATTGGCCGCCCTGACAGACGACTGCGTCGTCGTGCACCACGTATCGCGATTGTGCGGAACGAATACGACGTTTAATATTAGATTTTGATCCAGCCAATGACGTAGTGCCATACCTTCGAGGAATTGCCCACAACATTACCTATTAGAATACGTATTTAGTTTGTGAAATGAAAAAAAATATAGAACCAAAAAAGTGTTGTCAACCGCACATAGTGCACGAACTGCCCCAAAACATTGTAAATATTGTAAACAAAAAG